AAATAAATCCCAAGCATGGTGAAGAATGGTGTGAGTGGGCACAGAGGACTGGAAAAGAAATAGTCACAGAAGGGGAGGCATAAATTGGATGAGAAATGCATTCAGAGAAAAAGATTAAAGAGTATACACATACATGGTTGTATAGAAAACCTGCACCCAAATACATACAGCTGTATTATGGTACTGCATATAAAAAACATAGGGGTTTATCTGTGTAGCCATACACTGACAGCGCACTGCAATTCCTCTAAAATAAAGCTATAGCTTGGCTTTAGCCAGCAGATTTAAAGGAAAGTAAAACCTGTTCCAGCATGTAAGTAAACATGCATTAATGCATTTTTCAGGCAGCAACATTGCCTCTAGCACTGGTGACAGCAAAACAACGTACACAGGACATTTTCAATAGGGATAGTTAAGTTTATCAGTATCAGTTTTATCAGTGTAATATTTACACTAAAATACTGTAAATTTTTTTCAATGCCAATCTTCCTTTTTCTTCCTGCATATGAGTGTATAATAAAAAGGTTTGAGAAGACCCCTGACACCGACCCCCATGTCTCTGAACAGAAAGCTGTTTGTGCTTACCCAGTTTTGTGAGGTGTTTCACAGGTCGGTTTTAACATGCTATTTCAGGCCCTCTCCACAATTACTATTCTGGTTTTGTGCACAAAATGGATAAATCTGGAAGATTTTTTTACTAGCAATACATTTTCAAGTCTGTATTTCATTGTGCTACACTTGGCGCAATTATTTTCCAGCACTCCTTTTCAGAACTGGATGAAAGTAGGCTTCTACACCTGCCGTTCTGACAAAAGATACAATCAGTACATGCAAAAAGTCTTCTTCAGTAAGTGACTCTGACACACTGTTGTCATTTACGCAGTTGTTCCGTCACCCGAATGAATGAAACATACACAGACTTTAAAACCACGTGTGAAGGGTCACAAGAAGCACAGGTTTTACCCTGTGGAGGGGTCTGTCCACATAATGTGTGCCCCCAGCAATGCACAGGAATCCAGTACAGCAGCCCCAGGCGAGCTGTCCAGACCAGGGCACATGCAAGAATGCCTTGTTCCAAATTTACAGACCTGCTGTAAAATCCTCTGGTATTAAGTTAGCTCAAGAATCCAAAACCAAGGACACGGTGCTCTGAATCTGTAACAGCCACAGGGGCTGTTGAAGTCGTTTCACAGGAAAATGAGCCCTAAATTATTTTGGAATACCTGGAACAAAGATCAAACACCCTTTCACCCTCTCCAGAGATAAAGCATGATTCACGAGAGAAAACAGTGACCCCGAACACCTCACAAGTACCTTCTTTCTATGCTAACGTAATAATTAAGGGACACTCAGGTTTGGTGAGAGCTGCTGAGGAAGCAAGATCCCATAGGCAGGACATTGGCAGCTCTGGGAACACCCACAGGGAAATGCACTGCACCAGTACATGTGGAGTATATGATACTTAATAACCGTGTTTTATGCAGGTTCATCAATGTGCTCTCTTTCAACCACATCTGCATTTCTCCTTTATATTTAAAACATGTCACCACAAACAAATTAATATTGCCAGGGTTGATTTTAATAAAGAATCACAACAAGAAAAGTGTACATTAGCATTTTTTTATTATAGTTTTGGCTAATGGCAGTACATAAAATAGAATATAACAGATTTTTGTACCAAGACCAAGTAATTTTTGCTACCAACTATAAAGCTCTGCAAATTCAGAAGTATTTTGGCTCCTAAAATAAAAACCGTAACAGTGCTGTAACAGAAAAACAACTGTGGGCAGGTCAGCAAGCCACCAAACAACATCTACCTTCTGTCTCCAAGTTTCTCTCCCACCAGTAGTTGAGTTTGTCTGAAACAGAGGCTGAGAAAGGCAGTCGCACTTTTCCCGTCTCACCACAAAGCCATTCATTGCAAGACCATCGCAAGAAAAGTGAAGGGGAAATAGACCTTCAGAGAGCTTCAGAGACATCAGGCGCGCTGTGAACGACTGCCCCAGACTCGGGAAGCAGCAGCAATTAGCTGCCTTAAGGATTTCAGTTAAAAAGGCAAGTGCCAAAGATTTGCTTTTTCCTATTAAAAACAAAACTAAACAAAACTCCCATAGGAAAATATTTCTCCTGCTAGAATTCGTAGATCAAAAATTATTTGCCTAAGAACCAAACAGAGTACTTTATTTTGATCAAATATTTTAATAGATAAGTTGATATTTCAAAGAATAAGATATTGCCTAAAATAATTCCACAGGTAGTGACCAAACAGCACTCGACGCATGGATGATCTGCTTTTGTTCCCATGTTTTCTAGAAAATACAGGGAAAAAAACTATCAAACCAACATACACAGAGAGAGTCCAAGAACAACCAGCCTCTCATGTGTACATTTTAGTTTTCACAGTTTTTCTTCAAGTACAGGTTTAGAGTATTGCAGCTCATAGGTGGAAACACGAGCGCCCCAGAGTTGCTCTTCTTGGCAAAGTGGACAGCGTCTGAAGCATCAAAGCATTTAACAGAGAGGTACCAGACAAATAGCTTAAAAGTAGACAAATGCTGCATTACCAGAAAAGTCCAAAAAACCAAACCAAACACATCTGGGGCAACTGAAGAACAGCACAGAGCATAGGACTTCACAAAGTATTAGATGACTTAAGTTTATAGTAAGTTCTTTTGGTAAATTTATGACAACTGATTCACAAAAATATACCAAAAGATTAAGAAATAAGGTGTTGTGGAGTGTTTTCTGACAATAGTGCCACATGGCTTTGTTTCTACACGTTCTTTTGAAAAAGCAGGACAAGAACTTAGAAACGCCTGTTTTTCCATCTAAGTTTTATATGTAAACATTTGGCAAAATGGGATTTAACACTTCTGTGCACATGAAGACACAAAAATGCTCTCATTTTCACTGCTGTCAAGGTTCAGGAAGTCAAATGAGTTGCTGAAAACTTTGACAGTCATGGCTCCTGAGAAGAAAACTGGAGCTCCCTTGCAAAGGCTACAATGCGGGATTTTACTTCACATTTTTAGAAAGATGCAACTATAAAACAATTCATAAACAGTAGTTTCAGGCAAGTAAAAATTTCAGTTGCTTAGCAGGTTTATATTCAATCTAGCCATTTAAGTACCACTGGAATTATACATTAGCTGTAGAAATCCTATTAATTTTTCCAAGAAACATAAAAAAAAAAGATAGAAAAGTCACAGCTGCACCTGAGCTCCAAGAAGAGAAAAACGTTGCAGTTCTATCTATTTGTCAGCTGTTCAGATAACAACGTTCTCTAATAGATGAGGAAATCTGATTGCTGGCTTTATCAGAAGTAGTAGAAAAACCACCCATGGTGTATTGCTGCTTACCCTGTCAGCTACCACCCATGTGGCTGTAGACTGCAGCTGTTACTACGTACAGCAAACATAATTCCAGACATGATATGCAGTAGAAGTCCTGTCAAGCTACAAACCAACCTCCTTTACTATCAGTGTTAAGGAAAGTGACTTTGGCCTAAAATAAAAGGGTGACTTAGCAGAGTCACTTCCGAAGTAATACTGCTAACTCCATCTTGGAGCAGGACCCAAAATACAGTTTGCATTGATCCTGTCAGGCACAGACCGCTGTAATAAAAGAGAAGTGTGCTCGTATATATTTTATACTACAATTAACAGATTGCAATGCCCTGAAAATAGTATGAAAATACTCATTAGGAATTATAGAATTTCTTATGCATTTGGATATAGGAAACACTCGTGCATAGAAAACTACTCTTTGGGGTTTACTGCCTTTAACAATATCAGCATTATTATAAGTTTATTTGGCTACAGTAATGCCAGAAAATAGCAGGACTGATTTGTGCTGACCTACAAGGAACTCTTAAAAATTATCTGCAATAGATTAAGAGATTTTAGGCAAACAATAAAGAATATATGTCCCTCGAGGTTAAATCTGAAGGAAATAATGCCTGTCATATAAAATACAGTGTGCTTCTTAAAAGAGGCATTTCCTCTTACTTCTTTTCTTAAGACACAAGGCATGCTTGAATTTTAATCTTATACTTGCAGAGGCCAAGGAAATAATCTACAGCGAGCAGAGACAGGAAAAGGGCTGAAGGTCTCACAGGCACACACCTGTAAACACTGCAAAAAATATAAAATTAACCCTGCAGGGATCCTTAGTGAGGTGAGCATTACATGCCATGAACAAGATATCACTGACAGCTGTTTACTTCTAAATGTAATACAAAATTAAAGGCAAGGGGCTAATAAGCTGTATTAAAAAAAAAAATCTAACGCTGTATCAGCTAGAGAAGTCTCCATGTCTATTTTGTATCCCTAATACAATGGGAAATTGAAAATACGCTCAATATAAGAATTACTAAACAAAAACAAAGTCAAATGTGTATAACATATAAAACATCAGCTGACTACATGTTATGAAATACGTATCACAAGAGTTACCACAATGCATTTCCACATTAAACTCTAAAGCAAACTCCAAGTCACATGTTAAGCAAAAGGCATCCTTTATGGTATAACACCACCATAATGTAACTCCAGAAGTCTCCTTTGAGTCAGGGTACAAAGTAATCTGAAAACAAGGCAGAAAAATACAATTAAAGATCAGCTATCTTCTCACAGTCAGAAACCTGAAAGAACTGCACACATTTTAAAAGTCACAACAAAACACTGGCTTCATCATGGGTTTGAGAATCGCACATTTACACAACTTCAAAGACTCTTTCCATGATTACTGCCAGCATATATATTGCATTGACTTTCTCTAAAAACTAATTTTTATATATATCCACACACACATACACAATCACACTAATGTTTAGTTTTGCTCCACAGCCAGCAGTTAAACCTCAAAAATTAAAATAAGATTGAAGCCTATGCAAACCCTTCTTGCAAACATTGCCCCAAAACCTCTTCACACCAATCACAATAAAAAGCAGTTAAAAGCAAAACCGTTTAAGTGGCTATTAGAACATCTCACCAAAGACTTCATACGTGCTGTCCATGAACTCCACCGCCATCTCCTTCTCCACTTTGCATCTGCATCTGCATCTGCGCCTGCATTCTCGCTATCATCTCCTGCATGCGACGAAGCTGGAAAAGTAGCACAGAAGAATCCTGTATCCTAATCTCTCACCTCAGAATGATTCTTTGCTGCCACCACACTATTAATTATTAATAGCAAAGAGGGAACACATTATCTTTATCTGATAGGTACAATCTCAGGTTAATGTGAAATATTTACACTATTCTTTTTTCATATTCCTTGAAACAACAACCCTTTTAATTTTTACTCTCGTTATCTGCTGGAACTTGGGTAGCCACTAAGACCACCAATAGAGGACAGAATGTCTGCTTGTGCCAGGGCAGACAAAAAACTCCATCTGACTCAGCCCACTCTGCAACACTGGCCATTAGCAAGTGCATGGATGAGCCTAACAGCCAGGTGCACACTCCCAGTATTTCCTGACATAAGTTCTCAAACTCCAGAAATCTGTCAATTCTGAACTTGCAAAACCAAAAAATTCTACCTTTGTGTTTAGTGAGTACAGTCATGGAGAAAGTAACTCTCTCCAGTCTCTCAGCATTCTTGAGCTTATCTGCATTCCTCCTATGTACAAAATTCCATGCTAATGGTTCCACACTTAACAGACTATCTTAAAAGTATCTTTTGTAATTTGAAATCAGACACCTATTAATCTCATTAAGTGTGTGACCTGTTTCTTGTATAGCAGACTCCCCTTCACCCTGCCATCTATGGCTATGTAAGCCCCTTACTATATTCTCCCCTTCTGTCATCCACTTCCCAACAAGAACATTAACCTAATCTCACCTTGTATGGGATCTGCCTCACATTTCCACTTCTGCCTTTCTGCCCACTTCTTGCTATTCACTCTACTGTTTCTAGTCCTGGCTGTATCCTTTTAGGGTTAGGGGGCAATGAAAACAGTGTTAGAGCTATGCATTATGGATTTATCGCAGTGGCAGAATGGGAATTTCTGGGTTTATTCCTGACAATTCCTGCCATTGGTTCCTCCTTTGCTGCACAACTGAACTGTCTTTTTCCCAGTTTACAGTTGCCAACTTCAGAACTTCTCATGTGAGGATGGTGCTCTCTCCCCACACAACGTGCATTACATCCATCACCGATGTGTACAACGGCATTTCACCAGATTCCACTTGTTCCAATAAATCAATACCCTGAGAATTCTCTACACCTCTTTGCTGTTTTGCTGTTTTGCTACTGCACCTTGAATAACTCTATACTAGCAAATTCTGTCTTTAGCTTTACAAATTACCAAGATTACATAAATAATTTGATCTAAGTAGTGATACAAGAATAAAAATTCCCCCATCACAAGAGTACAGAGTTCTGTTATCTTACTTCAGCTTCTTTTTCAAGCAAAATCTGGTCTTTGTTTACTTCTTCATCTTCTATTTTCCTAAAATAAGATGAATATTGTTCAGTAACATGCATACATTTCAGATTTTGAACTTCCAGAGAATGCTTTGTTGACAAAATCAAGGCTCTTAGAACACATCTTATGTCAAGAGTTTCATAATACAAACAAAATTCATTGAAACACGTTCCCCACACAGCTGCAATTCATGTTTTTATTTTAAAATTATTTTTAAGACATCAATTTATCCCTTACTCTTTCATAAAGTTATGCCCAGAACAAGTATAAACTTCAAAAAACTGTGACTTTAAATGTAGATCTTTGCAAGTGGATATCAATAAAAACTATTTCTGAACAGTATTCAAGTATAACATTTTACCTGAGCATAACATTATCTGAACTGATTGCAATTTGAGTACCATACAGATACAGCAGATTCAGAAATACTGCAAACACATGCTCAATTCTTCTTTCATTGATGCAATAAATCACTACAAATAATTTCAGATATAGGTTCAAGGTAAAACTCGAGAAGACGTTAACAAAAACATGGAAGCAACACGTAAAATAACCAGTGCTCCAAGAAATTCTGTATCTGAAAATGTGGCTACCTCCAGGCAGAACCTTCCTTTGACGCAGTTCTAGCCCATCTCCAGCGCCATGAACTATGTTTGCCACCAAACATCTAAAAGGCTTACAACCAGACCCATGGAAGTTACGCAACTACTGCACACATCTGGAATCCTTCCAGTTGGAGGAACTCCTTATCCTCTGCTCCACTTCAGCCTTAGAAGTTTTTCTAGTTTTTTTTCTAGTACAGTCAGATTATTTTGTATAATGTGTTAAAGTATAGGACAAACATTCATTACTTCTGTCAAAATGAAGGAAATGCTTTCAATCAGTATCTCAGCAAAATCTTGCTTAACTGGGAGGATCCAGTTTTACACTGAGAAACCAAACACAAGCATATTTTGATGTACTATATTTTCGAGATTACCTACCACTTTGCTAATAGATTTCTCCTATCTCAGCTTGCAACGGGGAAGATCCACTAACGGATGTAATCACACAAGCGCCATCAAAAGCACAAAGCAAAGAAACTGATGCTTGTTAAAAGGTTGACAGAGAAAGAAAGAGATTGTCAAAAAATCCTCTGGGCCCAAAAGCCTCTGGGAACATTAGTGAATCCAGTCAACAAGTACGGCTGCTGGTGGGGTAAGTGCAGGTTTGAAATAAACTCACAGGCAAATTACCCTCATTGATAGTAAACTTAACTACATTCTAGCACCACTTCAAAAGTGTGAAAACAAGGATATACGGGCCACTTAACTAGAAAAGAAACAAAAACACGGTTTAGTTTCACAAGGAAAGATATCCCAACTTGACAGCAACTTACTGTCACAGGTCCTTGACAAAGGCAACTTTAAATCCTCTAAAAATGGGTAAACATTATTTTAACTCTGGATGACTTAAGGTTACATTATGTCTAAGACCTCTGTACATACCTGTCGTATAACAGGCACCAGAACTTGGCAAAAATATATATTTTTTTTTAAGCTTGAATTTCAGAAGACAGGATTCAAAAGTCAGGTCAAAAGAGCATGGAATCTTGCCTGTAGGGAAAACTGGACTTGAATGC